TGGCTCCAATCTTGAGCCGGGATCAGCTGCTAGTCCCAACTGGGCTGGAGGCAGGAGAGGACGGGACTTCCTTTTCCCCTGCAAGAAGTGGCTGAGGCTGTGTCAGACGCACTCCCAGAAACCTCCCCCAGCTGCAGGAAGCTCAGAATCGTCCCCTACTTCCTGCCCCCATCACTCCTCAGCTGTGGGGGGAGGGGTCACTGTATGGGGAGCTGCTCCCCCATCCACCCAACCCACATGCATCTGGACCTCCCATACCCAGACACCCCTGCCAAGCCTCACCCAGTACATCCAGAACTCCCCTAGTCCTCCATACCCAAACCCCACCCCACTGAACCTCAACCCCTGCATCTGGAAACCCCCTTCACCCAAACCCCCTGCCTCCAGACCCCCACCCCTGCACCCAGACCACCACCCACTGAGCTCCCTGCACTCAAATCCCCACCCTGATGCCCCACCCCCTACACCACCCTGAGCCCCCACATCCAGACCCCCATGCCACTCATCCCCAACTAGCTGCACCCAGACCCGCACCCCACCAAGCTCCACTACCCCAGCCCCCCCGCTTAGACCCACACACCCAGACCCCTCTGCTGAGCCCCAACCACCTTCACCTAGAAGCCCCTGCAGAATCCCATTGCCCCTGCACCTGGAACCACCGCAACGAGCCTCTGTACATCCAGATCCCCACCTATACCCCACACTGAGCTGCCTGCACCCAGACTGTCCCACACAGAATCCTCTCACCCCACACCTGGATCACCCCACATTGAGCCCCTCCACACTTGGATCCTGCCTGGTTGAGTCTGCCTGCCCCACACCTGGTGCGCCTGGCGCAGAGATGCAGCGCCCCAGGGTGTTTCTGGGGCAGGCCCAGGCCTTGTGCTGTGTCACGGTTGGGTGCAGCCTCACCGCTGAGTCCGTGTCCCGGGGGCAGGGAGGCTGCAGGGTGATCTCCCACCTTTGTGCAGCCAGTGGCCTGTGCTCCCCACTGCCATGCTAAAGCCTCTTCATTTATTTATTGACAAATGAAACGTGAAGAATTTTGAAGAATTTAAAATATTGTGTGCAGAATTTTTGTTTGTTTTTCGGCACAGAATGCCCTCAGGAGTATGTAGTGTACATCATTACAGAAGTTTGTGCTACACAAAGGAAGCAGAGAAATTTCCACCCCCTTGAAATTAAAAATAAAAAAAAAGAGTGACTTCCCCAATCAGGTGCAGAAAATCTATGGTTACGATAAAGCATTCAGCCTGAATGTCCTCTTAGATACGACACGTTACTCTTGTGCATGGCATAAAAAAAAGAATGATTGTTTCTTTAAAAAAATAAAACTGTAGCACTATATCCTGCTGCATTCTAAAGGGAAATTGATTTTCAATTTTCCATTCCTGATACACATGGTTACATTTTATCTCTACTTTCGTATTAGCTGTATCACTTGGTTATCAATAACACACCCTTCAAATTAGTCTAGCTGGGGTGGTGCGCAGCGTAACATGCCCAGAAAGGACATGATGGGAAAGGGGGGCAGCAGCACAGCTCTGAGGTAGGGAGAACTTGGGGCAAACTTTGGAGCAAAGTAGTACAGCTCCACACACAGAGGCCACGGGGAAGTGGAGGAACGGGGCGGGGACCAGAGCCGTCGTTAGGCATACGCAGCTGCATAGGGTGCCCCAAATTTTTGGGGCACCATTCCCCTCATTGGCCACAGCTGGACTCCTCTCATCTCCAGCCCCTTCCCCATGCTCGGCCTGTGGGCTCCCTCAACCCCAACCCCTCCCTCACTTGCTCCTCAGCCAGATGGCTGAGGGCCCCAGCCCCCAGGAGCCCAGAGCAGCGCAGCCGGTTACTGGCGGCGCAGTGGCCAGACCCACTGCTGCCTGGGACCCTGCCTGCCTGCGCGCTCGGTCTCTGGCGGGGGCCAGGGCAGGACAGGAGGACCAAAACTTCCACGTGAGGGGGTGGGGGGAGTCAGGGCAAGCGGGGGGAGGGGAGACTTAAAGTGACAGTGCCCTCATGGTCTCTCACACTTCCCTAACACATACACACTGTCTCTCTCACACAGACTGGCTCTCACACCCACATACACTTTGCCTCTCCCAAGTCACAGTCCCCCACTACAGATTGTCTCTCACACACAGTCTCACAGTCCCCAACACACAGTCTCACACACACACTGTCATGTGCCCACACACACGTGTATTATTGTTGTTATTACTGCTTGGTACTTCCTGTCAAAATGCTGGTGGAGAGCCAGGAGTGACTAGGGGCTGCAGGAGGGCTGTGGGCTCTGGCAAGATGCAGCTCTCACGTGACAGCAGGAAGCCTGCCTTGAGCCACTGCCCGCGTAGGAAGCTCACTGTGTGTCAGCAACGGGGCGGAGGGTTCTGGGGGTCCACGGGTGGGGGCTGTGCCCCTGCGACACACTGGGGTTAGAGGGGCTGGCTGGGGACCACCTTCAGTGGAGCATTAGGGCACCAATTTAATAATACTGCGTAGGGCCCCATAAATCCGAAGGACGGCCCTGGCAGGGCCCAACAGCCCCACACAGGGAGGCCAAGGAGAAGTGGAGGGGGGGGGGGAAGAGGGTGGCAAGCAGCCCCCCACAAGGAAGGGATTTTGGGGTGTGAGGATCGACAGCTCCGAACTGAAGAGGGGGAAGTGGAGGGGGGTGAGGAATGATTCCGGGATGGGAGGGGGAGCAGAAGGGAAAAGCTGAAGCTCAGAGCCGGGGGAGGAGAGGATGACAGGGTCTGCGGGAGCCGGGGGAGGACAGCAACCGCGCGGAGCGGGAGAGGGCAGCGGCGGGCGCCAGGCGGGCGGGTGGGTCTCCCCAGGAGGGAGGCGGCGGCGCGAGGCGGGGGAGGGTCTCCCCGGGAGGGGGGCGGCGCCAGGCGCGCGGGGCGGGGGAGGGTCTCCCAGGGACGGCGGCGGCGCCAGGCGCGCGCGGGAGGAAAGGGGGAGGGGGATGCGCAGCACCAGCGAAGCGGCTGGCGCGCGGGGCCGGCGGGACCTCTCGCGCCTCACCCTTGTGGCAGTGGGACAGGAAGTAGGCCCGGGCCCGCAGGTTCTCCCGGTCGAAGCGGTCTATGGACAGCCACGGATACTCCCGCATCCGGCCTCCGAAGCTGCTCATGGCGTAGCCCTACTTCTCGGACTCCGTCCGTCCACCATCCCCACCTGCCCCATTGGCTGCGGCCCAAACCAATCACAGAGCCGCCTTTGCAACCCGTCCGCCTACGAGGAAAGGGCCGGGGCGGGGCCTTTTCTTAAAGGGCCAGTAACAGAAACGACTTTTCTGCTCCGGCTCTTGCCGTGAGGTTTGGAGCTACTGCTCTGTCCGTGTGAACCCGAGGAGTAAAGGGCCCTGCAGCATGGGGCGAAGGGCGTGCCCGTGTACTCCAGGCCTGCTCACTCCTGAGCGCAATGATTTATCAATAAGAAATTTAGGTAATTAGTAACTGATACCATTAGCATCTACATCATTAATAAAAACAACAAGGAGTCCGGTGGCATTTTAAATAACAGATTTATTTGGGCATAAGCTTTCATGGATAAAAAACCAATGGGTTTTTTTACCCACGAAAGCTTATGCCCAAATAAATCTGTTAGTCATTAAGGTGCCACCGGACTCCTTGTTGTTTTTGTGGATACAGACTAACACAGCTACCCCTCTGATACGTTACATCATTAATAATGACTCTTAGTAACTAAATAATATTGAGCATGGATAATTACTGCATTAGGAATTCATTCCCTGCCTTAGTGCAGTGTTTGTTGCTTTGTAAATGCCTATCATGAATAATTATAATTAGTCTATTAGTAATTGGTTGTGAGTCGTTATAATTAATTCAGTAATTGTGAAATATAAGTAAGTTATATTAGTAATTGTTTTGCTCCAACAATGTCCATTAGTATTTGTTATTATGACATTCGTTTATTTTGTGGGTGAGGAGCAAACTGTTGAATTCTCAAAAGTGCTGTGCATTGTTTTTAGTACTTTGGCCCAGACCAACTCCTATGAGTTAGGGTCCTAAATACCTTTGAGGATCTGGACTTTTGTCTCTGTTCACAGCACGTTCAGTGCCCTGTTCAAAGTGAGGGGGGGAAATGTAATTATTGCCAAGCACTAATCTGTTAGCTATTTATGCTGATGTCATCACCTGGCTGGTATATCTAATTTTATATCCGTTAGGGGGGGATTAGTGCAGGGGACAGGAGGTCAGACAACATGCATTCTTTCCCCAACTCTACCTTTGGCTCATTGTGTAACTTTGGTCAAGTCACTTACTCCCATTTTCAAAAGTGACCTGCCCAATTGAAGACCTAAAGATCTGCAACGCAACACTTCAAAACGGAGCTGCCCCTTTTGAAAATCGAAGGGGTAGCCCTGTTAGTCTGGCTCTGTAAAAGCAGCAAAGAGTCCTGTGGCACCTTATAGACTAACAGACGTCGTGGAGCATGAGCTTTCGTGGGTGAATACCCACTTTTTCGGACACATGCATCCGAAGAAGTGGATATTACCCACGAAAGCTCATGCTCCAATACGTCTGTTAGTCTAGAAGGTGCCACAGGACTCTTTGCTGCTTTTGAAAATGTTGGTTATAATCTCTCTTCCTCCCGCTCCGCCGCTGAAAAGGCCAGTAACACTTGCTTCCTTTACAGGGGTACATTGACTACAGTGCTTTGGGATGCACACGTGCAAGCTCTCTGCAGAAGCCTGATCTTCCCATGTCAGCTTCTAGCAAAGCTCCGGCTGCTTGCAGTGGGAGCACGCTGGGGATGGTCCCCAGCCGCCTGAGCTGTGTAAGATATACCACACTGGTCTGACAGCACATACCCAGCTGCACCCGTTACAGTCCTGACTCCTCTTCCAAAGTCCTGCGCGGCCCGGCCGCGAGTGCGCAGCTCGGAGTACTGGCCCCGCTCCCGGGGTTCGCTGCCGGTTGGCCCAGGGTCCCCGGGAAGGCTTCTCTCGGCCTGGCTCGAGCGCCGGCGGTTGCTAGGCACCCGCACAACCGCCGCCGGACGACCCGAAGAGGCGGCGCCCGTCCCGAGGGAGGGAGCGACCCGGCGAGACCGTTGGTGAGTGGCCGCGCGGCGCCCCCGTCCCGACCCTCGCCGCAGGCGGAGCCCGCCCAGCCCCGGAAGCCGTGAGGGGAGCAGGGGGCTGCTGAACGCCCCCTCCCGGCTCAGGGGAGCAGCGTGGCCTTGGGGTTCCTTTAAAAAGCCCCGGCTCCTGGAGTCCTGTGACTGGGGGGTCCTTAAAGCCCCAGCTCCTGGAGGCCTGGGATTAAGGGGAGATTTTTTTCCTTAAAGCTTCAGCTCCTGTGCTTATGGGTTTAGGGGAGAGTCTCCACTTTCATTTAAAAAATATAATTTTGGGGGCTGGTGGTTTCTAAGAAAAGCTTAAAAACATGACCCATGTGTCCCTCCTAGCAGCTCAGGCTGCAGAAGGCAAATGATAAGAAAACAATTAGAATTCTTTAAAATCTTCGGATTTTTTAAGCAACTCCCATGATTTTGGTGGGGCCTGACTCATGGATTTTGCATGTGTGGGGTTGGCAAGGCTGGGAGGGTTGGCAGGGACAGGGGTTGTTATGCAGGGGGTGGGGGACGAGAAAGAATTGCACTGTATTTTTGTTGCCATGTATTTTTGTTGTTGTTGGTCTATATCTCTTTGTCCATCTTGTCTTTTAGACTGTAAGCTCTTCAGGGCAGGGCTCATAAGAACCGCGTTAGTGGGTCAGACCAATCAGGCCCATCTAGCCCATTGTCCTGTCTCCGACAGTGGCCAGTACCAGAGCTTCAAGGGAAGTGTACCGAACAGGGCAATTTTGGAGAGATCCACCCCTGCCTTCCCCTCCTGACTTCTGGCAGTCACAGGTGTAAGGTCACCCTGAGCATGGGGTTGTATGTCTGACCATGTTGGATAATAGCCATCATCTTCTCTGTGTGTACAGTGACCAGTACAATAGAGCTTCAACCCTATTTGGGACCTTTAGGCACTACCAGAATTCATATAATTAATAACTGAGTCAAACACAATGTGGAGTCCTATCCTGAGTAGATTATATCTTGTCTCTCTCTCACCCCTTGGCAACTCCTTTGCCAGTAGAGCCCCACTGAACTGAAATGGTCTGATCTGTCTGCTGGTACTTCTACTCATTACTGCCTGACTCCTACTTTGGGTATTGCTGCCATAAATATGTTCAAACATAAGACAAACTTACAAGGTTCAGAGGAGAGGTAGGCTGGTTTCCAAACTGTGCTGACCTTTAGGCACAGATTTGTGCCACTGTAGACTTGCCCTTTTCTTTTCCTTTCTGAATTTTAAGGAAATATGTGGGAGAGCGGGGGATGGGGGAAATTAGGGGGAGAGGTGTGGTTACATAACAGACTTGGTGGAAGTGGGAACCGGCAGAACATTTTTAAAACACAGGAAATCAGTAGTAATCTGCTTCAAGTTGTGCACGCATCTATTCTAGGATGTTTGTGTTTGACTACTATACGTAACCCAAGAAGATACAGGATTCCACCACTTACAGAATTTATTCATTGATGTCTCTGTAATGGCAATCACTGTAGAGTATTTCCCAGTACCACATAGTGGGATGTGAAATTGCACAATTTCCCCCTAAATTAGACGAGTAATATGAATGGTAACCCTGTGGTGTCTGTTGGCAAATTGAGCTTTTTGACTGATCACTCTGGGCTGTCTCAACTGCACATCAGTATAAGTGATTTACCTATTAAACTTAGATAAAAGGTTTGACATACCAGCTTGAAAATTGTAATATTTGTTTTTTACTTGCATGCACTGACTTGGCACTTTGGCCCAGAGCCTCAAAGGTATTTAGGCTCCAAACTTCTATTGTCTGGGCCTTTATGTGTATGTTTTGCCTGTGTTTTCACAGGAGCTTTTATGGAAAGTCTTCTTGAATTAATAGATAGTTAGAATGTGCCATGTATATCCGTTGCATTGGACAAGTGCATTTGCTAGAAGAGCCTGGTATATCATTCCGCAGAGAAGTGGTTAATCCTAGTGACATGTAAGTGGTCATAATAGACCTTTAGTTAATACCTCATTAAGATCCAATCCTATACTTCATTTGCTAGCATTGCTTCAGTAGGTCTGTCTGCAGGCTCAGTTGGTCAGCAGTATAACAGTTCTATATTTTAGCTTACAATTTATACATCTTCCTTCCATAAGGATTCCAAAGTGCTTATTAATTCATACTGGGTCACGCTTCCCTTTGTAGTAAAAAAGTGCAATAAGGAGAAATAGCCCCAAGACTCATCTGAGCAGGTTAATTTGTATTGTTGCATCCCATAGTGCAAGGAGAAAAAACTCTTTGTAATTATTGACAATTGGCATTTAAAGAGAGCTAATAATTGTGGAGTGCTGAACTACCACATATATGGCAGCATCTTTAGAAAAGGGCCAGGGTATCTGTATACTTATGTACAGATCTTCACTAAACCCCATGCAAACTGAAATAATGCCCCTTTTCCTTGTTTGCTGATGTTTCCTTGTTTGTCTTTCTCTGCAAATACTGTAAGTATTTATGCCAGATACAAATGCAGATACAAATGCAGATTTCAGCCACTCCCAAATAACTGCTGCCATGCAAGCAATAACTCCTATTGTCTCTTCTGTAGTTGTTTGAGGGGACTGACTTCTGAATTGAACCACATACTGAATAAGGGGTTTCAGTTGTGTGTAGGATTTTGAGGAAGGTTTTGTAGTCAATTGCTATTCTTTTCAGCCTATAAGCCATGGGAGCACATGACCCAACAGGATTTTTATCCTCAACAGCATCAAGTTTAGAAACTTTCTTAAATGAAGATTTAGATTCTTGGAAATACAGCAAAGTCTTCCTAATTATGCAGCTGCAGCTTGGTGACACTAAGTTACTGTGAGAAGAATTTGGCCCATTGACCAATGAAATCCATCAGATGTTGTAGCATCTGACGTATTTTTCTTCCTGCGTAAATGAAAAGTGCTCTCTATTAACAGAATAAGATTGTGACCGTTGGTGCATGGAAGGGCCACACTGAGATTACTCAATCAGGGCAAACTACAAAGAATGGGGCAGATGATAACCAAAACTGGTGGTTATTCTAATAATTAGATTCACCAGCCCAGCAACAAAACATCTTCTACAATACCTTACTGGTTACCCAGAAGCCAAAAATACAGTTCCCTTAAAGCAATCCAGACTTGGACTCCCACCCAGACAGCCAAGTCAAATATGAGAAGGATTACTGAAAATCTTGTTCAATATATATATATAAAGTTCTGCTAATCCCAAGGTATCGGACACATTACCCATCAGGTCAATGAATATTTCAGATCTTACCCAAATACATGCTTACAGCCAATTCTTATTAACTAAAAGGTTTATTTAAAAAAGAAAAGAGAGAGAGTATTGTGGTTACAAGATCATTATACATACAGATATGAATAAAGTTCTTAGGTCAGTTTCATAGTAGAGATGATGAGCTGCTGAGTTGCAAAAAGTTCTTTTCAGAATCAGTTCATCAGGTTATAGTCCAAATAGCAGTTCATATATAGAGTTTGTTCAAATACTTCCGTGAGAATTAGCAGGGTAATCCAGACTAGAGCTGGAGACCTCAGTCTTGCGACTCAAGCTTCCCCGAACCAAGCTTAAGCAGATCTGAAATAACAGGATCAGGGCCTTAGAGTTCTTTTATAGATCTCTGGCAGGTTATTGATAGCCTCTTAACAGCAGGTATTCCTTGGGCGAAGCATTGTGGTTCTGAAGTAAAAACTCCTGTTTCCTATGTATACACAGGTAATTAGTTACATTCATCAGCATAAGGTAATTATCCATTAAGACATACAGTTTACTACAAACCTCAAAGAGAAATATTGACAATGTTATTATTACACCCAAGTTTCATCTAAATGTTAATATTCCCTCTGAATCATTGATCTTTCAATCAATAAAATATAGTAACAGACAGGAACCTTCTGGTTACATTGTTACCATCTAACAAGCTATAGGTAAACAGACAAATATGAACAGTATCTTCTTCTAATTCTCTAACGATACAAGTCTACATTTCAAAGCTCTATCTAACATGCCTTTGTTAGCTATTTATAAGGAATGGCCTTAATTACCATTTATATACTTTTCTAATATGTCTTTAAAGGTTGAATTTGGGTCATTTAGCCTGCTAGTCGCTTAACCCTTTCTGGCTCAGTGTCACAAAGCTATACTCAAAAAATTAATACAATGAAATAAGAGGTGAACTAGAAGAGAAAACTGGTTCCTGTTACATATTGAAATTGGTCTAGATTTGGAAACTTAGGTCAAATTCATCACTTGAGCAGCTCTGTTGACTTCAGTGGAGTTAGCTCTGGGATCAGTTCAGCCATGTGAATTCCAAAGAGCACTATCATCAGTAATTTGAGCATACCCTGGAAAATGGTATTATAATAGTTTACACATCTGGAAACTGAAATACAGGTGATATGGATTTACTCCAGAGAACATCATGTATTCAATGTGATTCTGGACATTTTTAACATGCTAGTTTTTACTTTGGGGTTTTGAGGTGGGTTTTGTTTGTTTTGTTTGTTTTTTGTTTTTTTTTTGACTAACTATAACTTGTTTACTATGTTTACCAATTTTGTTCTACCCATTTTTATGTAGAACTTCAACAATATGGCTTGCTCCAGTTTTTATATGTATCATTTTTAAAACCTAGTTTCAGCAAAATATCTGGTGGAGTTCCTGGAGCCATGGCTAGCGCTGACATCAAACCAAAATCTATAAGTCGTGCCAAAAAATGGTCAGATGAGATAGAGAATCTATACAGATTTCAGCAAGCTGGATACAGGGATGAAATTGAATATAAACAAGTGAAGCAAGTTGATATGGTAAGATTTATAACTGTGCAGGGGCTATGCATTTTAATTCTCTATTCCCTATTAAATAGTGAAATAAAAATGGAGGCACACCGTATATTTCCTTTCATTTGCTTTTGTTTTTAATCAAATTCAATTTTAGTTCTTTAGGCAGTTTTAGAAGTGCAGAATAACTGATTTTCAAATACATTTATTTTACTTGACACAGAAACTCTAGCAAGCCTGCAGTGTGCTGCCTCTTCATCAGTTACATATTTAAACATTTCAGAGCTTTTATTACATAATGAAGATTTTTTTTCATTAAAAAAAGAATTTAATGCTGGTGAAAGATACGGCATGGGCAGCTCACGGGCAGCTTCCACCCACTACTCTGCCAATGGGTACACCCCCTAATGTGGTATGCCCCCTTTTTAAGGATTAGAAGGTGGTTCAATATCCATGGGCTCAATCCAGCATTCTTGAAATTAGTGGCAGGTTTACCATTAAATTGTGTAGGAGTTGGATCAAACTCCTTGTACATGCAGTACTTGGTTTCTCTGCTGAAAATGTCAACAGTCAAGAAAGTTGATGCCAGGTATGGTGGAGGTGGTTGTAATGCAGACAGTTCTCTACTGAGACCATCAAGAACTCTATCTTGTACCCATTGAAAATGTCGTTGCATATGACCTAAGCTACTGGTAGTCACCTGATGTCAGACAGCTACGAATCTACTCTGGATTCAAACTAGCAACCCTATAGGTGATAGGCTCTATATTTCATTATTAATCTCCTAAATCATTCAGTTCCTCAAAATCCCCTTTAAAAATCTATTCAGATATACTATGTAATTATTTTGAAATATACAGTTTGCATTAAAGAAAACTTTTGGTGCTACTGATGTCTTGTTACCACCTTCCATTATTTAAAAATCAACTGTTTGAAGTATTTTCAAAATACCAGAAACAGATTCAACTATATTGGTGTCCAGTCTCTCACCACATTTCATGTTTTAAATCAGCATATGCACATTCAAGCCTTTGAAATTGGTGAGCTACTGCTTCTTTTACCTACATAAATTATTGTAACTATGCAAAGTGATCTTTGAAAAGTTACTGCTGAACTAAATTTTTAAAAAATTCATGGCTGAATTATAACCTACTGAAAATAGAGGTGTAAAGGAACATGCAGTTCGTTCTTTTGTATTGGGCTCAGATACTGTGGTGAAGAGTGTAGTATAAGTGCTTACACAGAAGTCTAGGTAGATCTTTTAATGAGAATGGTAGGATCCCTCTAGTTAATCAATTGTATAAGATAAAAGTCAAGACTGCTACAGAGTACAAGCCACAAAACAAACTATGATCCCATTGGCAGAGGGACACTCCCAACAAAATAATTTCCAACTTAAAAACTATGTGGAGTTTTGTTTATATCAAATTTCCGTGGAATTAGCATGAGCTATATTGTAACTGATCACATTTTGAAATATGGCTCATTTTTGCTCTATTATGGAGGCAACAAGATCTAAGAGCGGAGATACAAGGAATATTATATGGTACTTCCCTTTAGAGAAATAACCCAAGCAGCCAGCAGATCTGTACATTGAAGTACTAGGCTGAGTAATAAAACTACCATTTAAGAGATATAATTCAAATACAATCTGGTTTGATATCCATACCTGCTGATCAGAAGTGAGAAATTAATATTTGGGATTCAAGACAATAGGAAATACTCCTGCTGTTCATGCTGCAGGTGCTTACCTAACACCATGGGAGCTTCCAAAAGCTTATTAATTAAAAGGATTGAATGTCTGCACTTTTTACAATGTAATAAATATCTTGTGAAGTACTGAATTGAAAGCTATGGATGATGGTGCTCAGCACCTTGCAGGATTGGGTCGATTGACACTAATTTTCCTGATTTTACATATGGCTCATTTGTTTCTTTGAAAATAATGATGAAACTAATGATGTGTCTATTTTTCATGGTTAGAAAGGTGCCGAAGAAACTTTTACTTGTACATAATTCTTCCATAACAAGTGGAATCTTTCAGCCATTCGGATTTTTGAATGACTGAATCTTGTTTATACAGTAAAAGGAAGGCATCCATTGGCTAATCAAGGGGAGTCATAGACATTAGAGAGGAAAAGACCTGTTAAGTCTAATACCCTCCATTGCACCAGACAATGGTTGTTCCTGTTCTCTACACCATATTTTCTAACAGCTTTGTCCAGTCCAGTTTTAGATTACTCAAGTGCTATGTCTTCCATCACATGCCCTTTGGATCATTCTTACTCTCTTCTGACATAGTGAAGTGTTGTTGGGTTTTTGTTTGTGTGTTTTTATACCATACAGAACTTTGACTAGAAACTAGTTTCTGATGTTTTATGTTTTTTAATCTTTATTAGAGTTAAGCGATTTAATCATAAAGCACCAATCAGCTACAAACCAATTTATTCACCAAAATACAATCCATATAAAGATATCTCATCTCCTGTGATGTGTTCTACATGGATATTTCCTCTGAGTGGCAGCCTGTTCAGAAGATGAGTGTATATTCTTTTCATTCTGTTTGCAGGTGGATCGTTGGCCAGAAACAGGATTTGTGAAGAAACTTCAGAGAAGGGACAATACTTTCTATTATTACAACAAGCAAAGAGAATGTGAAGACAAAGAAGTCCATAAAGTGAAAGTTTATGCATATTAATTTTGTTAATCCCAACTACACTGTTTTGTTTTTGTTTGTTGTAAGTATGTTGCTTTAATCTATCTGATGTTTATAAAATGTAAGGAATTAAACAAGGTTTCTGAACTAATTTGTTCTGTTTTTAAATATAGCTGAACATTTTTTGGGGGAGGAGTAATAATGTATGTTCAGCACCAGATTTTCACAGAGGTTTTGATGAGGTCCATATAATTAGAAGTGCTAATTATTATTTAGTGCATTACATCTTTAATGTACTTTACTGACAGTAGCTAACTAATTCTAACCACAACCTTGGGAGATAGGTAAATGTTATTATCATCAGTTTACAGATGGGAAAACGGAGGCAGAAAAGTTAAGTGACATCCACAATATCATGAGGGAGTCGATGTCAGACCCAGGATTAATATTTGTTAAAGGAAATCGAATGACCTGGGGGTAGGGGCCAAAACCATGCTATGGATTAAAAACTAGTTAAGTGATGGGAAACGGTCATAACAAATATCTTTCTCTTTTAGCAAAGAGGAGTAAATAGTGAAGTATCCCATGGGTCTGTGGGGTTTTTTTAATATAAGTATTAATGATTTAAAGGAGAAAGTATTTAGTGAATTGATAAAATTAGCCAATGATACAGGAGGTTGGACAGCAAAAACTAAAGAGGATTATGAGAAGTTAAACACATGGTGGGATGAAGGGAATATTGGGCAGCAAAGTGTCAAGTGAAATCTAATATCTTTCTGGAAGTACATCAATTATAATTCTGGTTTTAGTGACAGAAAGAGATGGGATTATATTGGTAGCAGCTAAAGAGTAAATGGATTAATATTTTTCCAGACCTAAACACCACAGTTTTGAATAAAAGAGAGAGATTTGTGCTCTGTGGTGTGGTATTAGAAGTAGAGGAGCAGAGGTGTCTGTCCTTTACCCTGAAAATTTAAGAGCAATGTACTAGGGGATTAAAAAAAAATCACATTTTTGACAATGCTGTATCCTTTTGAAGATCACATAAATGAATGAAACTACAGATTCCAGGGTTGCTCAACTTGCTGGTGAGGTGCTCAGACCTCAGAATTCTAACTGCAGTGGTCTATAGTAGTCCATTTTATTCTTTTGCAGCTGTTTTGCTTGGTTTGGTGTCTGTGCAATGAAAGCTATTAAACTCTGGCACATGTGGGTTACATTAATTGATGTAAATTAAATAACACTCCAATCTTTAGTACTATTTACTGTAGCTCCTTATCTTCTGTTAATCCTTTTGATATAATCCTCTGGATTCTACCTGCAAAAATAACTGTCAAAATGGCATTGCGAGGTCCATCTCGAATTTAGTCCATATCAAATGTACTCAGTTTATAAGGCAAAAGCTGGACTCCCAAACCCACATGGACTGCAAGCTCAACCTGGGATCTGGCAATCAGGCTGGGTTCTTTCTCGTTCCCACATTATCACCTAACTCAAGTGAGTTATGTTGCAGGTAAAGTTGTGATCCATTAGATTGAGCATAGAGCTGAGACTCAAGAACCTTGGAGTGAAATCCTGGCCCCACTGAAGTTAAAATGTGTTGTGCTATTGTCTTAATTGATCCAGGATTTCACCCTTGGCTTCTGTTCCCTGCTCTGCCATAGACTCAGTGTGGTCGAGCGACTTAACTTCCCTGTGCCTCAATTTCCTTATCTGCATGACAGATAAGCATTATTATTTAGTACAACTCTAGTCACCAAAAAGTAAAGATTCTATAGTTATTGCCCAATTAAGAACTCTGGTGATGTGAACAGAACAGAATCCCATGCCTAGAACTGTATTGCTCTGCAGTACTACCAACAGTAAAAAGGAGTAAAAACTTATTTTGCGACCATATAATGCCATCAGTTTTTAAACAGAGCTCCCCATTGAAAACACAGCATGTCTTGTTGTCAGAGAAGTAAGAATATTGGATTTGGAGTACATATAGAGAACACATCTGTTGAATAAGAAAATGCTGCTTTTATGTAGACCCTTTTTTGACTATACCTAAACATCAAACCTATATTATATGAATTGTGAACTCTAATGGATTTCAATGTGTGTTTTTTCCCCCTCCTTTTTTAATGCATTATATGTATGCTTCTATTCTCTATTTTGTCTTTTATATATAATGAACAGTATTAGTTTTGTTTGTGAAACTAAAGACTTTTAATAAACGAAGGTGGGGATTTAGGACTTCTACGTATAAAAATTTGTTCCTATTTAGTGTAATCTTCATTTTCTGTAATGATGTGTTCATAAATCATAGGGCCAAATTCTGGTCTCGTTTGCATCAGTGTATCTAGTGATTTCACTGGAGTCCTGCTGGATTATACTGGTGTAAATGAGATTAGAATTGGGCCCATGGAGTCTTAAATTTACTGTTAACCCTTTTGGAAAAAAGAAATGGTATTGGATAGAAATCCCTAATCATAGCTGACGAGTAGTATGGGAAAATAACATACTGTTGGCTTCCATTGAGTTTGTTCTGTTGAATTTTGAGAGGCTAGCATCACTGCTGTTGTCCCACAAACTTACACAGGATCGTTTTAGGGGTCAAGACAAA